TAAGAGCAAAAACTAACTGATTATATTAAAGTTTTGATAAGACATGCTGTCCAACTTTTAGACCTCCATTAACTGTTCCGTAAGGATTTCATATAATTCTAACCAGGTTACATACTGACCATTCCCTAGCAGTGATAAATATCCTATACATCTAGCTCTCACTTGGGGCACTCAGAGTCTTAATACCTTATGAGCTCTAGTATTTCCAGTCTCTCCCGAGTAAATGCTGAAAGATATGATGTCAAATTAAACTGAAACCCTGGCAAATAAACCATGCTTGTCAGTCTTTCCCAGTTCACCCGCCTTGTCAGAGACACTACAATAAACTGCCTTTCTCTCAAGTTTTCATTTCTCAGTATACTAGTGTTCAGAAAGATAACCTTTTGTACTTCAGAGAGCTCTAAGAGAAAGCCATAAACTAAGCTTCAGAACAAGGAATTAAAATTCAAATCCCAGAGGAATCTGACACATTTGATATGTGATTCTCCTTCACCCTTAGTGAAACATTTCAATTAAAACCTAGAAAAGGACAAAAATGGGCTCACATTCTGAAAGGTAAACAAGGCTTGGGCCTGAAAGCTAAGCTCTGGAAGAAGGATACAAGAAGGCAGTGCTACAAGGAAAGATTTTAGCTTTTTTAGTGCAATTAAAAATGATGCCTGGATGCTTGGAGTCTGTTGTGTAAAGTCAGCAGTGCTGGAATTCAGTACAGCTGTGGTAGACTTCATTTCTTCTGTAGACTACGTACATGAGGGGTGCTTGACACATACATATGTGCTGAAAAAAGTCAATACATGAATAAATCACAATTCTTGGACCGTTAGAACATTCTAGGGCCTTTGAGATAGGTCCCTGACCTCTTAGGACAGAAACCTCTGACTGTGAGCGACTTGCATAATAAAACTGGATTCTTAAACATGGTTGGATATTCAGACCTTCTGTACAATGGCAGCCATGAGGCTAGAGCTGTGCTATTCACTGAGCAGAGCAGGGCCATGTCCCAGTGCAAAAGCTTTGCTCCTCTCTTGTGGGATGCACCCACAAGTGTTAGTATTATCTATAGGATTGGTTTGATGAGCCCTTTCTATAATGAGATCCCCAGACATTGTGGTGTTTAGATCTCACTGAAGCTGCCTTGATGACAGTCAACGTGGCTTTGGGGAGAGAGACTTGGGTATCCTGGGGCACAGGAGAATGGCCCACTCTGGCAGTATCTTAGTCAAACTTAAAGGAGCAAGACTTTGCCAGTGTCATAAAGGAGCTGGGCTACTGTTTATGTCTCCTTATGAGTCTCAGTTCTTATAAAATAGAGACAGGAATAAGCAGACAAATCCTGGTGAGTTCTATGCCTTTCTTCTTGTCTTTCCCTTTTAGATGATTGCCTGGATCCTGTGTCTGCCACAGCACAAGTACTAAGAATCACCATCACATTTGATTTCCTCTCTAGAATCCTGACTGAGCTTCTATCCTGCTCAGTGAGATGTAAGTCACATTGCATGAATAAGTGAAGCCAATGTGACAAGTAACTTTTTCCCCCCTGCAGAATACTGTCAAGTTGGGGAGGGGAAGGAAATGAATATAGGGCTGTGCCAAAAAATTTAGGAAACAAAAACATTAAAAATAGTGGGGGGAAAATAACTCATAAAAGCTTACAGGCCAGATGTCTAACCACACACGAATGGATTGAGAAATTATGGTATATTCACACAATAGAATACTACGCAGCATGTAGGAGCAACAATTTTGTAAATTATTACCTAGCTTGGGAGGGACTAGAGAGCATTATTCTGAGTGAACTAACTCAGTCCCACAAGGGCAAATAGTATATAAAACCATTATTGTAGAATGAGTATAATGATCCAAGGTGGCGGGGCTGGAAGCAGAGGGATAAGGATGTGCAGAGGTGGGGTGGATTAATCAATGGATTGTATAATTTGATGAATAGGGAGTGAGGGAAATTGGAAGAATCTGTTTTGGAAAATAATATATTCAAATTTTTGTAAATTAACTAGTACCAAAATGTAAAATAAAAAATACCCAAAAAGTTTATCTGGACAACAATCCTGAAGCCACTCAAGCAAATTATTTCAAGAACTTAACTGGTCATTTTATCTGGAACTAAAAGTCCTTGTGTGTGGAGTCATGTCAAAGGAGCCAGACCAATGAGGAACATTCAGGTTTGTCCTCCACCCCTTCCATTACATATCTTTCTATGGTGCCTGGATGCAAGAAATGGAATGTAAAGCTTTGATTAGAGGCATCTGATCCCCATTCCTATCTTTGTACTGGAAAAAGCATATGCCTGGGATAAAGATATCCCTTTACCTCCTCCTTTCCTCTGTATGAGACCTCAACCAGACACCAGGAAATTAATAGTTCATGAAAGGCAGGCTGAAGATTCATGTAGAATGGCTGCAGGTTTGGAAGGAGAATTAGAAATGTATTCCTTCCAATCAACATCCAAGTACCCCACTAATCCTTGGCGTTATCTTCCCTTCTTAAACATTGTGCCTCCTTTCCTTTTATTTCCTCCTTCTCCTCCTTATTCCTCCAAATATGGGAAATAAGAAGTTACACAGTGTTAGATGAAGCCGAGTCTCTAGTCTTGAGTTCATGACTGAGAGAGAAGAATTGTTAAGAGAATGATCTTACTTTTGTCTATTGCATGTCAAGCACAAAAGATAAAACATTAGCTAAAATACTCAAGTTTAAGATCTATGATCATTTTTATCAGTTCTTTCCATTTATAGAGAATATACTCTATGGTATGTCCTCTGATAAATGCCTGATGGCCAACATCACATATAAAAAGCCCATTAGTGCCCAGGATAGAACTTAGCATGCTACACGTGAAGAAATTGAGCCTAAAGAGATGAAAAGGAATGTTTCTAAGGCCACACATTGAGTACTGGATCTTAGATTTGCATGCAGAGGTGTTTGATTCCAGATCACCCACAGTACAATCCCTACACATTATTAGCATCTAGAGCTCGAATGGAAGCAGGTGTTGACTTTCTAATGAGTACCAGCTGAAGATTCTGAAGATGTGAATAACAATTCTGAGTGAGATATAGAGGCTGTGTGTGTGTTGGGAATGGCATCGTTGTTAGGTTTCTTCCAGTAAGCTTATAGAGACATTACAGGTAGTTGAATAAAACATTACCCTGCCATCTTTACATTTTTGGTTGTGTTTTGTGCCCATTACTGTGTCTATTGGGCCAATTAATCTCAACAAGGTCCCCTCTTTTTCACTGAATCACTACCAAGCATGATGTCTTTCTCAAGTGATTAGTCTTTGCTGATGACCTGCCCTAAATAAGTGAAATGAAGACCCACTATCCTTGCCTCTAAGTCTGACTGTACTTCCTCAAGGACAAATTAGTTGGTTCTTCTGCAAGTTCACAGACTATTCAGTCTTCTCTCAACCACAGTCCAAAACTGTCAATTTTTTTATCTTTATTTTTTATTGTCCAACTTCCGCAGGCATATCAAGTGATAAAAAAGTTGAGTCAAATGTGTCTTAATTATTAAATTGTCACCTTCATTTTTAACTTTAAAGAGAGTTTGAATATGACTAATATACAAGTAAAATTCTGATCATAGAAAGTGGAGATAGATGAAGGGAGAAAGGCAGAATTTGATGTATCTTGTGTATCAATGATTGTGTTGGAATGTTTATATACAGTAATTCGTATAATCTGTATTACAACTCTGTGTAGTAGCCACTATCATTTCTCTCTCAGACGAACTAACGGAGACGAGCAAATTGAGGAAAAAAATACCTGTCATTGCTTCATTTATATTTATATCACTCCATTTACACTTATATGATGGTCAAAGCCAACAATTTCTGTAAGCTTATTTTGTTGGCTTTATCTCTGTTTTCTTACAGTGGCTGGTATTTCATATTGAAAAGGTCTTAAATATTTTGTTATTTAATTTAGCTAGAGACTAAAAAAGGGAAGCAAAAACTACCTTCCACATATAAGGAGACAAACAGGAATATGAAGTCACATGGTAATTTGGGACCTTAGGAAGAAAAAAAGACTGGAAAAAAAAAGAGAGATAGAGAACTGGTTCCAGACAACAGTCATCCTGGGTTCACACATTGGAACCCAGGAAGCACCGCAGGGCTCTTCTCACTGCTTTATTCCACAGTTGACCATTTTTAAGTTTAACTCTGAAGAGGGATGATGTTGTGTATCTGGATTATCGAGTGATAGTCCTTCTGAGTAGAATTTGAGTTGGCCTCTTACCTACCAGGAGATTGTCTCACACAAAACTCTCCTTTGATTGAACTGCTTCACCCTTTGGGTACATCATTTGACACTGAGTCTCTGATGATGACAAGATGGGTCATTGTGGCTGGTCTGCACCAGGTTAATTGAGGTAAAATTTCAGGGATGCAAACATTCACTTTATTTAGTACCTTCTCTGGTCTATCTCCATACCTCACTCATTTGATTAGGTTTTCTACAACACTATTTTATGTAATTACCCTCTTTTCCACTTCCACCATATCTGACTCCATATCCCAGGACCTTGAGGACCTTTGACATGTGGCTGTGAGCACTTGTCCAATGTCTGAATGCTGAGGTTTTCTGAAACCTAGACCTACTCATCCCCTTTTTGTGTCTCTATTCTTGATTTCTGTTGTACAGACAACATGTTGTGAGGAGAGACCGGTCCTTGGAGGAGGACATCATGCTTGGGAGGGTGGAGGGACAGCACAGGAGGGGAAGGCCCTCTATGAGGTGGATTGATTCAGTGACTGGGATAATCGGGATGGGAGTGTCAGAGACAGTGTGATTGGCACAGGACAGAGCAGAGTTTAGGGCTGTTGTACATAGGGTCACTGTGAGTCGCAAGAGACTCGATGGCACATAACAACACAACAACAACAACATTCTTGATTTAGAATGATCTTAAATAAGCCTATTGTTTCTAAGTTAGTTGCTCACTCTTCTTATTTTATCTTTCTCAGATCCACATACTCCTCAATGCCAAGACTCAATTTCACAACCGTGACAGAGTTTACCTTTGAAGGCTTTTCCGTTTTTGGGTGGCAGCACCGAATCATTCTCTTTGTGATCTTTTTGGTCTTGTACCTCTTGACCCTTGCCAGCAATGCTGTCATCTTGACAGTAATTCGCCTCAGCCGTCAACTTCACACACCCATGTACTTCTTCTTGAGTGTGCTGTCCATTTCTGAGACCTGTTATACTGTGGCCATCATCCCTCGAATGCTGGCTGGGCTCCTTAGCCCTCAGAAAGCCATCTCCATTCCAGAGTGTGCCACTCAGCTCTTTTTCTATCTCACTTTTGGTATCAATAACTGTTTCTTGCTCACGGCCATGGGATACGACCGCTATGTGGCTATTTGCAACCCGCTACGATATTCTGTCATCATGGGTAAAAAGGCTTGTATGTATTTGACAAGTGGATCATGGAGTATTGGCTTGAGCACAGCCATCATCCAAGTCTCTTCTGTGTTCACCCTGCCCTTCTGTGATGCTAACACCATCTCCCATTTCTTTTGTGATATTCGGCCCCTAATGAAACTTGCCTGTGCTGACATTACTATCAAGGAGTTTATCACTTTGCTCATCAGTTTGTGTGTACTTGTCCTACCAATGGTTCTGATCTTCATCTCTTATGTCTTGATTGTCATCACCATCCTCAAGATTGCATCAGCTGAGGGCCGGAAAAAGGCCTTTGCCACTTGTGCCTCACATCTCACTGTCGTCATTGTCCACTATGGCTGTACCTCCTTCATCTACCTAAAGCCCAAATCTCAAAATTCTCTGCAGGACAGACTTATCTCCATGACGTACACTGTCATTACCCCCCTCCTGAACCCTGTTGTCTACAGCTTGAGGAACAAAGAGGTCAAAGATGCCATGCTTAGAGTTTTGGGTAGAAAATCCATCTCTTCGTAGCCAGTCTCAGTAAAATAAAATGAAAAATAATTTCATTAAATATCAAAGTGAAGGAGCCAGTCAATTAAAAGATGGTTTAAGGGCATCAAGTACTTGAAAAGGACATCAAGTACTTGATCTGGGAAGAATTTGGAATGAGAAGAACAGAGTGAAATATCTGAGAAAACGTTAATAAAAAAAGGAGACAGAAGGGTTCACCAAACTTGATAAATTTACAGAGCAAGATACTGTGTTGTAATGTTAGATACTACTCCTGATAATCTTACCATATAGAGTTTCCTGAGGCATGTTATTTAGGAAGTAGATGCTAGTGGCATCCACATCCACTTCCTAAATAGCATGCCTCCAGAAACTATGAACTTTGATAAATACCAAGAGTTGTAGAGGGGCTTCAGGCCTTTTGTTCACTATGAGTCATGCTCTACTTGAAGGCAATCAACAACAACAACAACAATCTTACCACAAGATATTGTAAACAAGTTAAAAAGTGAGAAGAATATGCTCAATCTTATCACAAGAGTTTGTAATATCTTGACCTGGGCTTATCATAAAAATCTGGGGCACAAAACATGACAGCTTTTTCATTGTCTACACATAACACTTGTAATACTGTGATGACAGATATAACTCCTAGTTGTCAATTTACAAGCTAGTTAAGAAGTTTGAATATTGAGCAACTTACCAAAAATGTTAAACATGACTTGCAGTTTACTTGAAGATTTTAAAAGAAATGCCTATATATTTCATACCCCGTCCTTAAGAGTTGTCTCATTTCATCCCACTTATGTTGGGTTATTGCAGCTTTACAAATTAATGCTAATTTCTCATAGCTATCTTCCAAGAAATTTCCATGCAAAGCAAGTTTCCTTGGAAGTGACCAGCAAACCCCTACCAAGCAGCCATCCATAGTCAAGACTTGATTAACACAAAGATAATGTGCATTTTTAGGATGCAATACTAGCAACCTCCATCAATTCAGGACTAAGATAGGCTCCACAGAGACCACATTTCTTGCTTATCTCTCTTCTCTGTTTTCTTGGTTCCCTCACTCCCTTTTTCCCCTGTTAGTATCCTCCAGATCAATCACTTGCATTCAAATCCCTGACTCGGGCTTTGCTTCTGTTTTCACTGTTGTTTTGTGCCACTGAGTACACTATAACTCATAACAGCGCTATGAACAACAGATATGAACCTTACCCTTTCCTGCACTATCCTCACCATCTCTGATGTGCCTGAATTAACTGTGAAGGGCCATTGTCAAGGCCAACCCCTCTAGTGGTGGGTCTTAATCTCCTTCTCTGATTCTCCACCTTTCTCAGGATAATTTCTTCTCCCAAGATCTGACCCCTTCTGACAAAATGTCCAGAGAATGTGAGATAAAATTTCATTTTTGCCTCTGAAGAGGAACTTGTTTACACTTCCTCCAAGATAGATTTGGATTGTGGTTTTTTTGTTTATTTGGGTTTGTTTTGTTTTTTAAGTCCATGGTATATTCTATGTTTTCACCAATATCACAATTCAAATGCATAAATTCCTTTTCAGTCATTCTTATTCACTATCTATCTTCCACTTGCATACAAAACAATTGAAAATGCTGTGGCTTCGATCAGATGCACTTGAGTCTTTACAATGACATCACTGCTCTTAGAACTTTGAAGACATCCTTGATAGCACATTTTCTCACTGTAATATACCTTTTGATTTCTTGACTTCTGCTACCATGGGTGCTAACTGATATCTGTATTTAGGGGGGGGGAAATCACTTGTAGAGTGTTCTCACTGCATATATTGCACTTAGAACAGAGACTGGTAAATAATTGATGAACAATAATTAATTATTAAAAGAAAGAAAGAAGACAGCTAAGACAGGTATGGATAGCTAAAATACAATTAGCATCAGCTAAGAGCCTTTCTCTCTTACTCACTGCCGTTGAGTCAATTCTGATGCATAGCAACTCTCTAGCAGGATTGAAGTTGTAATCTTAGAAAGGAGAATGCTCATTTTTTCTCCTTTAAGAAACTGATGGATTTGAACTGCCAGCGTTTTGGTTAGCAGCCCAGTGAAATACACTACATCATGATTACTCATTTTCTCCCACTTTATTTATTTTATTATGTGATTAGCTTCAGGTTATTTGACCACCATTATGACACTCTTGGTATAATTAGATAACAGACATTATTTTAAGTACTTTATGCACTTAATTCTCACTATAAATCTATGAGATGAGTATTTCTCTCCCTTTATTTACAGGAGAAATTGAGACCCAAAAGTGACTTTCCCAAAGTCATAAGACTTGCATGTGGCAGAATCAAGCAATAGCTCCTGGGTCTGTATTTGCATTATGAGCTCATGTTAATAAACTTAACCAGAATTTATCCTTAACCAGAAGAAGATAAAATAGATGAATGGGATCTTCTAAGAATCAAATCCCTATGCATATCCAAAAACTTCTCCAACAGGGTAAAAAGGGAAGCCACAGACTGGGAAAAAGTATGTGGTAATGACATATCATATAAGGGACTTATATCCAGGATTTATAAAATACTTGAGCACAACAAGATAAAAGTAAATAATCCAATAGAAAAATTGGCCTAGGATACGAACAGACACTTCACCAAAGAAGACATTCAGATGGCCAACAAGCACATGAAGAAATGTTCAAAATTCCTAGCTCTAAGAGAGATGCAAATCAAAACAACTATGAAATTTCATCTCACCCCAGTCAGAATTGCAAAATTTAACAGAACAACAAGCATCAAATGCTGGTGAGGTAATGGAGAAACTGGAACCCTTATTCACTGTTGGTGGAAGTGTAAAATGGTGTAACCACTGTGGAAAATGGTGTGATGCTTTCTCAAAAGTTGCAAATAGAGATACCATTTGACCCAGCAATTCCACTACTGGGGATATATCCTAAAGAGACCTAACCTACATCCAGGCGGATATATGCACACACATGTTTATCACGGCTTTGTTCACAATAGCAAGGAGCTGGAAACAACCTAAGTGCCCATCAACAAATGAAAGGATAGAGAAGCTCTGGTATATTCACACAATGGAATATTATGCTGCATTGAAAAACAAGGAACTCATGCAATATTATTCAAAATGGGTGACCCTGGAGGACATTATGCTGAGTGAAATATCTCAGTCAAAAAAGGACAAATACTGCATGGTGCCACTGTTGTAAAACAGGACTGACTGAGAAAGATGGGTTCAATAATGTATACTGCGTTGAAACAGATGAGGGAGAAAACTGTTTAAGAGGGATATGTGATTAGGTATTTTTGTCATGACAGGAGTCTAGAGCGAAGGCTGTATAGTGGAGTGTACCTGGGGGAGGGTTTGTAAAACAATGAAAGAATTTTTCTCTTACTTTTCCAAGAGGGTAGTGTGCTAGGAAGGAGGGTTGGGAGGGGAGAAAAGTGCAACAATGAATGAATGGAAATCCAAAGTCTCTGTAAATCTTCATTGAAATTAATAATAAACTTAAAAAATATAAAAAAATTACAAAATAAAAAAACAATAAAAAGAAGCAGAAACCCACCATATTATGCCATATCTCAAACTGTATTAAGAAAGTATCCTTGTAGTTCTTGTTATGTGCCATTGAGGTGGAACCAACTCATAGCTGACTCTCCAGCTGGTATACAGAGGCAGTAAATCACACAGGAAGAGATTGCCCATCTTTCTCCTCTAGAGCAGCTGGTGAATTCTAACTGTAAGCTTTTGGCCTGGTAATGAATGTCCTTACCACTAAGCCAGTCCAAAAGTTAAAACCTTGTGTATTATAATACATTTTATTCCTTGTGTATCTTGGTGCATCTTTTCTCTATTCAGCACTATCCCAGTGAGGAAAGGTAAACAAATACAGTGAAAAGGAAAGGCCTGGGAAATAACAGGCATCAGGGCCATCATATTACTAGGTTCTATACTTATTCTCTTTCCCACACCTATTGCTCACCCTGATCCTCTTCTGATGAACTTCATTTATCCTTTTTCTTACACTTATCACTCACCTGACCCTCTTCTGGTGAACTTGAATTCAGCAGATAATTAGAAGGTATGATGTTATAGACATGGCATGGACTTTGGAGTAAGAGAGACATGTGTCCTCATTTTAGGGCTACCATTACAAAGTTCATGCCATAAACAAAGTTACACAGACTTCCTAACCTTTGTCCACTATCCACACACTGGGACCGATATCTATGTTTATAGGAGCTCTTGATGGTATCATTTATAGTGAGAGCTGTGCTGCTAACCCAAAGGTCATGCCTCTCCAGTGGACCCACAGAAGGAACTCCTCCTGTCATTACAGACTCATCTAGGAGTCAGTGCTAACTTGGCAGAAATGAGAGAGTGAATTCATGGTTCTGATCAGTAAAGCAATAAGCATAATGTCTCTTGGCACATGGGAAGCAGCAATAGCTACTAGTGTATCATTCTCCCCCACCTTACCCTCCACATACTTTGCTCTTTATGTCACTTTTAAGTCAATATAAAATCACTCGGGAGATAGATTGTTGTTGTTGACGTTGTTGTTAGGTGCTGTTGAGTATGATTTGTAGCAACCCTAAGAACAAAAGTTCTGAACCTTGCCCTATCCTGTGCCATCCTCACATTTTCTGACACACAAGAGCCCAGTGCTTCAGTCACTGTGTCATTTTATCTGGTTGAGGGCCTTCCTCTTCTTTGCTGACCCTCCACACTTCCCAGCATCATGTCCCTTTCCAAAGAAATAGCCCCTCTCAGCAACATGCCCAAAATACTTATCATTCTTGCCTCCAAAGAGCACTCTGGCTGCACCCTCTTCCAGATATATCTTTTTGCTCTCTTGGCCATCCATAGGTTGTTCAGTGCTCTTCTCTGTCATCCTTATTCATTGTCCATCTCTCAGATGCATAGACAGTGATCAGAAAGACTATGGTCTGAATCCAACACATGTTAGTTTTCAAACTGACATCATTACTCCTTTACAATCTTGAGAGATCCC